GGAGCTCTGGTAGCACAGTACCTAAGGCATCTGACTGCTAACCAGAAGGTTGATGGTTCAAACCCTCCAGCCACTCAGCCACTCTGGGGAAGCAAGACTGGGCAATCAACTTCCACAAAGATTCATTGCCTCAGAAACCCAATGGGGGTTGCCATGAGTCAGATTTGATTTGAAGGCAATGCATTTTTTTGTTTTGTTTTGTTTTTTGTGGGTTTTTTTTTGTTTTTATAAAGTACTTGGAAAATCTCCCGAGTCCCTCTGCAATTTTCATAATGATAACAAACTAGAGCTTTTTTTTCTTTTAATAAAGAATTTAAAAAAGTAAAGATGACCGGGTCTATCCTAGTTATTTAGTGCTGCTATAACACAGGAGGATGACTTTAAGAAACAGAAGGTTATTTCTCACAGTTTAGGAGGCTAAGAATCTGAATTCAGGGCATTTGACTGCTAACCAGAAGGCTGGCGGTTCAAACCCTCTAGCCACTCTGTGCAAGGAAGACTGGGGGATCTACTTCCGTAGAAATACTGCCCTGGAAATCCAAGGAGGGGTGGCTATGAGTGAAAATTGACTTGATGGTAGTGAGGTTTTTTTTTTTTTTTTTTGGCTCTAGGGGAAGGCTTTCTCTGTTGGCAGTGGGGCCAGGTCCTTGTCCCTTGGTTCTCCGCAGAGCCTCCTGTGGTGCGGGGTCTCTCTTTTCCCAGCTACATGCTCACTTGCTTGTTTAATCTGTTTTATGTCTCAAAAGAGATTGACTGGAGACACCCCCTACACTAATCCTGCCTCAGTGACGTAACAGAAACAACCCCTTCCCCAACAGGATTTTAACCACAGAAAGAGGCTTAGGGTTTACAACATATATTTTTGGGGCACGATGCAATCCATAAGGGACAAGCTACTTCAAATATAGATAATTTTCCTGTGGAATCTATTGTAAAAGAAACATTAAAGGGATATGGATGAGTACAAAAAGGTGATTTCAAATAGATAATACTTTTTCTTGCAAAGTAAACCATGGATCAACGTTTCCTATTATTTACATCCGGCGCCCTCTGGTGGTCTTCAAACAGTCCCTACGTTTGAGAATTTATCGGATGGCATTTTATTATATACTATTCAGTATCTCTGAGAGAACTGCAAAATTTAATTCATAAATTAAATTGTTATTCCTTTCTGTTATTTTATCAAGATGAATTAACTAGATCGCGAAAGCTTTAAGTTACTCACTTTGATTCCCTAGACTTTCTGGAAAAAACAAAACAAAACACTGGGATAATTAAACCAGTCCTGTCATAATCACCATGAACATTTGAGACGCGATTTACTCTTAGAAACGGTGCAGTTATCAATACGTAGTAACTGCCAAAGAGGTGGCTTCCTGTGGAAATCTCTGTGACCAGTGTTAGACACCTGCTTCGCCCTCACCCTAATGCTGAGTCAAGGCGCAGAGACCCATTCCACGGGAAGAACAAATTCGGGAACGTCTATCGTGAGCGGTGGAAGCAAAACCCCACGCTGCAAAGCCCACACACCAGACTGGGTTGCAGGGCAACGCGTGCCCAGGACGCTGGCATGGCTTCAGGACATGAGGTTTTGTGGGCCAGTATGTATCAATTTAGCTGCAGTTCCTGACAAGTATCAGCTGTGATAGTAAGGTGAGACGCCCAGGCACCGTGGCAATGACCTCTTTTGTCTCTAGCTGTAATAGGCAAGGAGGGAGACATTCAATAAGGATAAAAAGAGGAAAAGGAGGGGGGTTCCATCGGTACAAGCTCTAGTTTATTCCTAACTCCCCTCCTTAACTTTTCGAAAGAAACACATTTCCTTGTCTCATGGCTGGAGTCTGCGGTGATAGTTACCGTGTAACTATCAGTGGAAGCCCATCCTGGGGGACTCGTCCCTGCAGACAGACACAGCAGCGGCAGCAGGTCAAAGGCGGCTTTCAGCAGCGTGGCGCGCACCCACAGCACGGGCTGAAGCAGCGGTGGAGTGTTTATGAGCGGCCAAATCGCACGGACTGGAATTCCCCCAGCTCGCGGACTTACCAGCGTTTTCTACCCAGCCCGGGCGCTCCTCGGGCGAGGGATGATGGGGGTCGCTCCGGCTCCCAGGCGCCGACGCTGCGGGTCCCACGGCGCACACAGGTGCCTGCTGGAAAACAGCGGCGACAC